AAGGCTGGTCGGTGACACGAACAGCCAGCCAGGGCAGCTATGCGAAGCAAAACCGAGGGAGGAAAGTGGGTCGTCAAGGAAACTGAAAACAGCCTGTCCACAGTGTGGCGGATGGCATTTTGTGTCATATTGTCCTTTCCGCACTAGAAGGTGTTACAAGTGTTCCCGACGCGGTCATAAGGCCACACATTGTCGTACCGAATCGTCCAGACCAAGAAAGACATGTAATGCGATAGACCAAAAGGAGTCGTCACCGGTTGTCAGTTGCGAAGATGGGAAATATCCGACAGTCAACATAGACGGAGACAAAGGCTCCACCATATCCAAATTATCTCCGGAAGAGATTAACGTTCTGTCTGTTAGGGCCTACTATGACCGAAAAACAGCCACAAACACGACAGAGATGACCCATCTGTTAAAATATAACAGCCAGCACTTCCGATGCAAGGCACAGGTGGAGTTTCCGGAGTGTATTGCGGACCAATGTTGGAGCATTGGCCTGGTGCAGGCCTGTGACCGAATGTACTCGGAGCATCGTTATGGACAGGGTGGAAGCTCCTTCTGGGAATTTCCTCCCTTGAAGAGTGGGCGGCAAAGAATACTTAATGACAGCTACAGTGGTAACTACCCCTTTTACAACTTGAACAGTAGCAAATTTGAGGTGCGGCGAGGAGTTATCTCTGACAGCTTAATATCTCTGACATACAGAGATCACTTTTATCCAACTGTGGGATGGGAAACCCCCGATTACGGAGGAGCAAAACTTACAGACATAATTCTAAGACAGGAATTTTGGGTCTGGCTTGTGGCTACCAGGCATGCTAGCTCAGCTACCAGTGATACTGTCAACGCTAAAAAGGATGAAATGCACATCCTCAAGACAATGCGGTGGCGCTACAACCTGCATATGACTTTTGATCCTACGCAGCCATATGGGAGACGTCTTCAACGCATTCACGACACTCAAGAGGAACAACCAGTCATCCTGGACGGCAATCATCCGCGTCTATCAGCTTCGGCTCTCGGTCCGCCTCATTGCAATGACGCCCAGTCTCTCATTTGGTATCCCAACAATCCTAGGGACAGAGCAAAACTCTTAATCCCATCGAAGCAGATCATTGTGCCCTGGGACACATGGACAAACGAAATGTCGCCTGGTCGCCCTCTCAGTCCCAAGAAACCAGACTACTGTAGGTTGGTGGCTAATGGGTTCACAACACGGAAACCGGTGTGGACATCAACACAAATATCAGGGCCCTGGGCAACCTTGAAACCGGTCCAGCCAAACAACCACGCGTCTCAAGTTCTTCACTGGGCTGAAAGTTCGCGCATGAACCTGCTAATGGGATGAAGGGGTATTCAGTAGAGCACATACAGCGAAAATGCCTGGAGCAAACGCTTTCTTTTTTCTTTATAACAACTCTCATCCAATGCGGATCGGCCCTGAATTGAACCTTTAATCGATTGGTCCCACACAACTTCTTTCTGCAGCCGTCGACAATTCGGTCCGCTCGAAGAGTCACCTCGCAAACTGCTGGTATCAATTTTTCCACATCATTACAGTGTGTCTTTTCAAGCAATTTTATTTTCCGTTTTAGTTCCTCTAATAAATTGCTCAAACCAAATTGCTTCAAAATTTTTGCTCTGTTTGTAAACCCTAAGCGACTTTCTGATTCTTCCGGGCGTGCGGGGTGCGCACAGTACTTGTACTAGTTACGGCCGTGATCATAGCTGCTCTAGCCGGCCTCATTAACATTTTTGCATGAGGAATCTTGGGGATGTTGAATACAGGCGGGTTCCC